GCTAAGCCAGGCTGAAGCTGGGATCCAAGAACCCAATCCAGGTCTCCCACTGGGTGGCAGTGACCCAGGTAGCCACCCCCTGTAGCATCCCTGCTTGTACATTAGCAGGAAGCTGGAAGCAGAAGCAGAGGCAGCACTTGAACCCAGGCACTCCACTATGGGATGCAGGTGTCTCCGATGGGGTCTTCACTGCTGTGCCAAAGGTCCATCTTGAGGCTGCGACAGTTGCTGAGAAATCACTGGAGGCCAGAGGCTTTGTGTAAACTGCGGTGCTTAGGGAATCCGTGTGTCCACTCATTCCTGACCTCAGCTCAACTTCCCACTGGGCTAGGAACAGCATTGACTGGGCCTCACCCACCTTGCTGCAGGAAACAAGGCATCAGCTGAGCCACTTTCTCCAGAGGCACCAAGAAGCGGGGAGGAAAGGGCCTGGACCTCTTGTTTGGCTCATTTCTGTAACCGTCTGCCTTTCGTCTGCTTTCCTCCCAGTGGGGCTCCCATGGGAGCACCTGCCTGGCTCTGCCTCTTCACACAGCCTGCTGCAGGGCCACATGGGAATGGCCACACCCTCCCCCTCCCCAGTAAGATGCCCCCAACACACACACACAGGTAGCAGGTGTTGTATGCAGATTGTAACTGCTTAATTAAAGAAGCAGCTTCAAAAGACTCAAGGTTTGTTTTTTTTTTTTTCCCTGATTGTTTTACATTTTGATTGTGTAGATTCTTAATCTTTGTTTCTATTTTGATGGGCTGATTGTTCAAGCTATAATAGGATGCTGGTCCTGTTTTCACATAACTATTAGCTACTGTCTTTTTCTTTGTATCCACTTGTGTTAATTCTGGCTGGTTCTATTTCAGATTCTGCTATATCTCTCGTATAAATTGTGGGTTTTTTTTTTTTTTTTTGCTTGCACGGGGTCTAGAAAATATAGCAAGTCATGCTAACAACTCAGCTCTCAAGAAATTCATTTTTTAAAAGCTGGCATCTTTTGCATGGAAGACATGGGGACTCACTCAGGTTATCTCTAGAAAAAAAGCAGTGCTTGGAGTAAGGATACCCAGGGACAAAAATCTCACCATTCTCCCTCAGTCTCTGTCTGTCTCTGCCTGTGGAACATCTCTGTCTTTCTTCTCCTTCCTCCAGCTGGCCTTTGCAGAGAGGCCACTGCTTCATGTCCTCAGGTGGCCCATGACACCTGTGTGCTCCTGGGACACAACTCCACATGGGAACATTCTATTTCAAATCCATTGCCAGCTAGCTTGCCTTACCTCCCAACTCAAATTCTGCATAGTTAGGGTTGCCTAAGTGTGGCTTCTATCTGTGTCATGGTCATTGGCCAGTCTGTGGTCTGGGTGTTCTTGGGTCAGGTGCTCCACTCCTCCAATCATAGGTATTGTGCTGGTGTCGGGGGATCATGGTTAAGTAAAGCAAAACATTGCCACCTAAGAAGCAGGGGCCATGCTGAGTGGACAGCTTCCCTGAAAAGGGGTTGTGGGAAGGCAGGGACTGAGGGATATTGCTGGTACCTTGATCAACTGACAATCTCATCAACTACTGATGCAGACAACCAGAAAGTTAAAGTAGATGTTATAAATTCCACTTGCTTTAATCCATGCTCCCTTCTGACATGAAATCTAAGCCACTCCCTGAGTATTTCATTTTTGTTCATGCAAAATATGCCTAAGTACCTGGGTTTCCCATCTACCACCAGGCTAAGGAGCAGAACCAAGAGGGCAGAGGATTAACACTGGTGGGTACCAGCAGCACCGAGAGTCAGTGACCAAGCGGCTGACAGCATGGCAGAAAATCTATGAAAAGCAGACACAAGAGCTTAAATAGCACAGCAGTCTGGGACCACTTAAAATGTAGGTTAAAAACAGCCCTATGTGCTTCAACAGCCCTCGAGGGCTTGGCTGTCTTACAGGCTCGTTAACTGTAGCTAATGTTCACATTGGCAAACCTTGAGTATATAAGGAAAGGCTAAAGGCTAAATTATGTTTAGGATATCTAGCTTAAGAAGCAAAGAAATTACATAATACACTTAAGAAAAACTTTCATGCACATTTAAAAATTGGTTTTTCAATGAGCACATCCTCAATTTTCCAAAGCAAGTCACTTGCTAAGTGTTGCAGAAGAGGCATAGGCATAAACACAGGTTCTGTTTCTAATGCGGGCTATCAGGAACCAAGGTGGGAAAATGCCTTTGCTCTTTCAAGCTGCCCAGGGAGGATTATCCCAGCACAGCTCTCAAAGCCCAGAAATCTAACAGGAGGCAGAGAGGCTTGGCAGTTAAGAACATGTGCTTTGGGGATGGCGTTGTGGCTCAGTGGGTTAAGCTGCTGCCAACGATGCCAGCATCCCATATGTGCACCAGTTCAAGTCCCAGGTGCTCCACTTGCAATCTAGTTCCCTGCTAGTGTACCTGGGAAAACAGCAGAATGGCCCATGTTCTTGGGCCCCTGCCACTCAGTGGGAGACCCAGATGGAGTTCCAAGCTGCTTGGTTTTAGCCTGGCCCAGCCCTGGCCATTGCAGCCATCTGGGGAGTGAACAGTGAATAAAAGATATCTCTCTCTCTCTGTAACTCTGCCTTTCAAATAAATAAAGCTTTAAAAAGGAGAAAAGAAAGAGCATGTACTTTGTAGTCAATGATAAGGATTTGAATCTTGAGACCTTGAGAAATCCCTTGACATGTATGTCTAAGCCTTTGTTTCCACATCAGGAAAATGGGCACAACAATATGTAGCTCACTGACTTGTGAGAATTTACCGTCTTCTGAAGTGTTTTACCTTATTTGGAATTGTTAATTTAAAAAAAAAAAGGTTTACTTAGTTGAGAGCATGTTTGGAGGTTCTAGCATGGGAGCGCAGCTGTTCCTATACCCTTGACCGAAGACCGGTCCTCCTCTAGCGGGGAAGGTTGTCCTCTTCAGGCAAGCACGCAGCTCTAGGAGGGACGCACATGGAGCACATGCAGAGGTGAGGGAGGAAGGGGACACCCGCCCAGCCAGCCAGATCAGCGAATCAACCCTGGCCATCAATGGGGTGACAGAGGTCGCAGCCAGATCGCCCTCACATCCAGGGTTTATTTATTTGAAAGACAGAGTTACAGAGAGAGAGAGAGAGAGAGAGAGAGAGAGCTTCCTTCTGCTGGTTCACTCCCCCAACAGCCATCCAAAGCCAGGAACCGGGAGCTTCTTACGGATCTCCCGTGTGGGTGCAGGGGCCCAAGGACTTGGGTCATCTTCCGCCGCTTTAGCAGGGAACTGGATTGGAAGTGGAACAGCCGAGACTTGAACCAGTGCCCATATGGATGCCAGCACTGTAGATGACAACTTTACCTGCTATGCCACAGCACTAGCCCAGGAATTGTTAATTTTTATGTAATTTTCTATATAAATTTTTTAAAATCTCTTTGCTTTTAGTAATTTATATAGTTCTCAATGTTTTTTTTTCTCCTGTGGGACAGTAGTACTTCATAAGGAAAGACCACAAGAACAGTTCAGCGTGAATCAACTTATCAGATTAACCAAGGAGTCACATATGAGGATCTTCAAAAAGTTCATGGAAATGTATAATATGAAAAAATTATACATTAATTTGAAGATTCTTTTGCATGAAAATGAACTTATTTTTTAATTCCATTTTTTCCATTAACATTTTTTTGAGGAAGAGAGAGTAATAGAGAAAGAGAGAGAGAGAAACAGATAAAAAGAGAGCTCCACCTTCTAGTTTATTTCCTAAATGCCCACAATGGCCGGGGCTGGGCCAGGCTGAAGCCAGAATCTGGGAACTCAACCGGATCTCCCATGTCGGTGTCAGGGACCCAACTACCTGAGCCCTCACCGGTTGCCTCCCAGGCTGTGCATTGCGGGAAGCTGGAATGACAAGTGAGACCAGGCTTTGAACACAGGCACTCAGTAGGGCACATGGGCAGGGCAACCAGCAAAGTGACCCCTGTGTCCTGGGCCCACCCCTTGCCACAAACTTTCCCAAGGACCCCTGCAGAGTTTTTCCAGAAGGGTGAGACAGAGAATGAGAGGCGCTAAAAGGGGCTGGGGAGGAAAAGGACAGCTCCAGGGTCTGAACATGAAGACCCGGGGTTGGTGGGTCCAGTGGTGGGCCGGTGGTTGGTTTGCATAAAGGGGTAGACGGAGGGCAGACAGAGGGTTTGAAAGTGAGAAGGAGACAGGAAAGCAGGCAGAGAGTTGCAGAGGACAATTTCTAGTTATCTCTAAACCACTCCCAGAGTTATTGCCTTGATTAAATTATGGTCTAAAAAAATGTTCTTGGAATGACAATTAAAGAATTTCAGCCACTGTGATTTCTCTCTCTCTCTCTCTCTCTCTGCTCCTCCCCTCTTCTCGATTCCGACTTCAAAAAGCCACCATGAAAGAATAAGGTGACTGTGATGTCTGCAGAATCCTTGAAATCTGGAGTTAAAAAGTCCTCCGTCATGTGGCCTGCCTGCCTGCCCGGGAATTCAGTCACCTCGGTCATTTTCTTCAAATACCCGTTATTACATTTCTTTTAAAAATAAACAACTTCATGCTTCCCAGCATCTCTGATAGATGAGAGAGAGGGAGAGAGAGCTTTAGCTGTCAGATGCAGGGTGAAGACATCAACTTCACAAACAGAAAATTAAAAAAGAGAGGGCAGATTCACTCCGTGCTCTTTCCCAGACCTGCTACAATAATGTGCACTGAGCAAACATCAAAATAACACGTGGACCAGTGACCTCCTTCTCCACCCGCTCACCTCATCAGACTCCAATCAAAGATTCCACTTCTGAATTACGCCACGAGGTGGACGACCTTCCATCACTGACTAGACACAGGGGGCTATCTCATCCTAGTAATCTTTTCTCTGCTTTTAGAGATTCTTCCACTTGTGTAAAGGGGTTAAACATTTTTCTGATGTACCAGGGATTTGGGTTTATTTGTTTTTAATAAAAGTAGCTCTTGGCATCAACAGACTACATTGTTGTTTGATGGCCAACTTCTCAAAAATCATGATAAAAGGATGCCCACTGTTTTCCTCGACTAAACTAATACCGCAGAATTTTTGCACACAGGTGCTGCAAAGCCATACATCCTTTGTGTGCACCTGATTACACAATAGCTAAATCCTTCTGTCTGGAGATAAGCCTGTGGAAATCGGCCTGCATTCTTACAAAAAACACTGGGGATGGCAAAGAGGCTTCCAAGTGTGTGCGTGTGTGCCAGCCCCATGAAGTGGTCTGCTGGAGAGCCTTGTTGAGAGGCATTCTAAGACTGGCTCCTGTCCATCAAGAAAGACTTGTGTGACTCATTAGTGCTACCTGCCTTAGGGATAGAGGAGGAGGCTGATGTTAGTCTGCCACTTAGTTACCATCTTGGTGTAAGCTCTCTGACCTTGGAAAATTTGGAATTTGTGGCTTTGACCATGCGGCTTTCCTGATGTAGGGTGATTTGGAAGTTTTGTTGCAGGAGAAATTTAAATGTATTTGAGAGAGAATTACTATTCCATGTGTATCTTTTACATGGCAATTGCTCCACAACACTGTGCCTTAAAACAATGATTTCCTTATACTTAAAGATTTTGTGGATCTGGAATTTGGAAGGAACACAAATGTAGAAAATAGACAGCTTGTCTCTGCTCCACCAAGACTGAGGCCTTAGCTGGAAAGACTCAAAGATGGTGAGTGACTCAATGGCTAAGGGCAGAAACCATGTACAGATCTGCACTTGGTGATGAATGCTGAGACCTGGGCTCCCCAGAACACTTACCTTGTGGCTTGCCGCACTTTCTCCCAGCAGTGGGCCTCGGTTCAATGGGAATGGGGGGCAAGCCATGGTCCTTCTCTGATGCTGCCCCAGGGTAACTCATGTCATGGTCTTAGAAGTTCCTGGATTCAACTGGAGGGAGGAGAGGCCCCACGTGTTGAAGGGGTGGGAGAGAGGGCTGCAGTCATTGTCAGGAAATACCATCTTCCGTGGCTGGCTGGTGAGTGAGCCAGCCACAGCTTCTCAATACACTGTCATTTCTTCTGCCCCCTTAATAGTTACTTATGCAAAGAAAGAAAAACTTGACTTACTGGTGAAAAATGGTTAACTGGGAGATCAAACTAGGAAAAGCTAAACATTCTTAAGTCATGAAATCATGAAAATCAGTGATAAGGAAATAAAATTCAGAAGAAAGTCACTTGCCTTTATATGTTTGTTAATCTTCACAAATAGGAGGTTTGTTAGTGGTTTGGGGATGTTTTTTCCCTAGATACTATTGTAATGGAGGCAGACCAGAGAGAAGATGGACTCATCTAACTTAGGGTAACTAGACTCCATCATGGGGGGCTGCTCTATGCATGATCCGACGTTTGTCAGCACCTCTGAATTCTACCTCTCCCCAAAGTCATAAATATCAAAAACATCTCCAAATATTTCCAAGCATCCCCTGGGGAGCAAACTGGTCCCCAGCTGAGAGCTGCTCATCTAACTCTAATGTATGCGACTACAAATAATATACTGCAGGATTCCATTCCCAGGCTCATCTCAAAGGGTAGCCAGATGCTGTAGGAACCTCAGCAGTTCTGCTCGGTCTCTAGTCAATTGTGTTTTTTTCTCTGTTAACAGCATTCATTCTAAAGGGCAGAAACCCCTGCTGTACCCTTAAGACTAGGGGCTGAAGCCAGGCAGAACAATTTCAGTGAAAGGGGAGAAGCGATGTTAATGTCCTGGCTCCACCTACTTGAGAACAAGTGGGTGTGCTGGGGGAGGGGCACTGCTGTGAGCACAACTGTACTCACTCTTCCCCATCAGCCACCCTGCACAGCCCTCCCCTGCCACCTTCCAGAGAGGAGGCATGTGTGGAAAGTGAGTCTCACCTAAGAATTGCTGTGTTGAGCATTCTATTTTTTGCATTCACCATTTTCCGGGGGCTGAGAGTGTACATTGAGGAGAAGGTGTGGAAACAAGGAACAATTTCTGCCTTGGAGTGTTACGGCATCTACGCTGCAAGGCGCAGCATGGGGTGCAGAGTCAGTGTGCACGTGGGCTGGGCGGAAAGAGCTGAACCCTTTCTCGCCTCCTCACCAGGGTACAGACTTGTTAGAGTCTAGGGATTGGGTGGCAATGGGGGTGGCACACACAGGCAGCTCTCGATGGATAAGTGGATTCTGAAAGTAGATTATTTGAAATTAGCAATGCATTTCCCATAGAAAAATAATGTTAAATATGCTACCTGTGCCCCAGATCAGTTGACAAAGCCAATTTCACTCCTCTCGTGCAGTGCTGCAGCACCAAAGACCAGTGATACCGTGTATAACAATGCTTTTAGGGAAAGTTGCATTCAGATTTCCAACCTGTGGGGGCAGAAGTGAGTCTCCTCTCATTGCACACCCATCAGCAGGTTCTTTCTGCTGCTCCTCAACGCAGCCGACTTTCCCTGAGCACCTATGATGTGCCAGGCAAGATGGAGGTGCTGGGGTGTTCAAGAAAATGTTTTATTTTTAAAATTATTTAATTATTTATATTTATTTATTTGGAGAGAGAGAGAGCGAGCTACCTTTCATTTGCTGGTTTACTCCCCCAAATGCCTGCAACAGCTGGAACTGAGCCAGATTAAGGCTGGGAGCTGGGAACACAATTCAGGTCTCCCCTGTGGGTGGCAGAACTGCAACTACTTTTTTTTTTTTTTTTTTTTACAGGCAGAGTTAGACAGTGAGAGAGAGAGACAGAGAGAAAGGTCTTCCTTTTCGTTGGTTTAACCCCCAAATGGCCACTACGGCCGGTGTGCTGCACCAATTCAAAGCCAGGAGGCAGGTGCTTCCTCTTGGTCTCCCATGCAGGTGCAGGGCCCAAGCACTTGGGCCATCCTCCACTGCCTTCCCGGGCCACAGCAGAAAGCTGGACTGGAAGAGGAGCAACTGGGACAGAATCCGGCGCCCCAACCGGGACTAGAACCCAGGGTGCTGGCGCCGCAGGTGGAGGATTAGCCAAGTGAGCTGCGGCGCTGGCCAAAATGCAACTACTTGAGCCATCCCCTGCTGCCTCCTAGGGTACTCATTAGCAGGAAGCTGGATCAGAGGTAGAGCCAGGTCTTGAACCCAGGCAGTCCGATATGGGATGTGGGCATCTTAACTGCTAGAATAAATATCCACCCTGGTTTCTGCTGTGCAGGAGATTGGCTCCCAATCTGTGCCACCTGCCTTCCTGTACACAGCCTGCATATATGGGGAGAACAAAGACTCCCATCCCAGCCTGGATGTAACCTCCCTGATGGCTGAGATTGTGGCTCCAGAGGGAGGAAGTGAGAGGGAGATAGACATGGGGACTTCTGCTTCCATGTTCTGATTTTCTCTGTCCTCCCTGACAGCCAACTACCACTAAACAGAAGGTAATTCCACAGTTTCTCCCTGTCCTCAGTCTCTAAAACACAAATATCAGGGTACTTCAAAAAGTTTGTGGAAAATGGAATTAAAAGAAGTTTATTTTAGTGCAAAAAAATGTTGAAATCCATGTGTACCAAGGGATCTTTGAAAAGTAAGGAAAATGAAAACTATGGGGTCGGAACTGTGGTGTAGTAGGTTAAGCATCTGCCTGCAGCGCCAGCATCCCATATGGGCACTGGTGCAAGTCCAATACAGCTCCCTGCTAATATACCTGGGAAAGCAGAGGAAGATGGCCCAAGTGTTTGGACCCCTGCACCCTAGTGGGAGACCTGGAAGAAGCTCCTGGCTCCTGGCTTTGTATCAGCTCAACTCTGACCATTGGAGCTGTTAGTGGAGTGAACTAGCAGATGGAAGACCTTTCTCTCTCTCCCCCTCTCTGTCTGTAACTGTGTCTCTCAAGTAAATAGATAAATCTTTTAAAAAGAAGAAAAAGAAAAAAAATGAAAACTATGGGAAAACTGCATGGATTTCAAAAACATTTTGCACGACAATAAACTCATCTTTTCATTCCATCTTCCACACCCTCTTCGAGCTCCCTTCATAATTTATGGAAAGCTGCTTTAGCTAGAAGATGGAAACCCGTGGACCCCGTGATGGAGCAGGGAGAGGGCTTGGATCCTCTTTGCCCCCACCCCTAAATGCCTCAGATGCAGAAAAGCCACGGCAGAGCTGACGTCAGGTCTTTGGCCACTGTTGTGTGGGAAATGAACTTATGCCATGGTCCTCTCCAAGTACACGACCAGGTGAGCTACCAGACAGAAAGACTCATGGACAAAATTAACATGCTTCCATAACATGGTTTATTAAATCCATGTACAACTCATGGCAAGAAGCCAGTGGGAAGAAATTAGGTAGGTTACCAGCCCTAGGGAAGGGCTAATGCGGGGTGGAAAGTCCACACTTCCTGGTTCTGGACTGCACATTGCTCTCACCTCCTGGCTCTTGCACCTGTATTAAGAAGGGGGAGTTAGGGAAGCAGAGCAGAAGCTTGTGACAGCTTGTGTCAGCTGGCTTTGGCACCCAGATAATTGGCTAAATAGTATTCCAGAACTTTCTGTGAAAGTGCATTTTGGGTGGGATTCTGATTTAAGTCAGTCAACTTTGATCGCAGCAGTTTGCCCGCCCTATTGTGGGTGGGCCTCACTCCACCAGGTGGACTGAGGTCAAAGTCAGTTTGCGGACAGAACGCCCTCCTGATCCCTTGCTCAGAGCGTAATTAAGGAAAGACAAACTGGGTGGGGCTGGGAGGCATTTAGCACAGACATAAGACTGGGCGGCCCCTCCCTCCAGCCGAGCTGCCCTAAGTGCTGTCTCAGGTGCCCCAGGCCCCCCCAGGTCCCCGCCCCATGCTTGTTCCCTGTGCTGGGATTGCCCAATTCCCATGCGCCGCCCTCACTGCACTATGCTTTACTTGAGGTCAAGGGGCAGGCTTAACACCCCCACCACAACACAATGCTTAGAACATAGTCAGGACTCAAAAAAAAAAAAAAAAATTGTTGAATGAATAAATAAATGACTCAGCACAGGACTAACCCGGAATGAGACGAGGAGCAGGATCTATGGATGAGGGCCCCAGGCGGAGTGAGAGGCAGCTGTGGGGCAAGCATGCACCAAGACAGCTGAACCCCTCCGACTGGACAATTATTTCCCTATGAACACAACAGGCAAATGCATGAGGCTGGGGGCCACCTCTATTAGAAAATAAACATTTCTGACTGGTACTCAGAAAGGCAGACAATCTTATCAGACAACCAAATGTCAGATCACAAATATTTACACACTATCTTGCCATGGAACATGTTTTTCCACCAAGCAAACGAGCGAAACGCCATGCTGTCACATACACACTGCCAGAGCAGCGCTTCTGGGCCTGCCGCAGCGTCTGCTTCCTGTTTGTGGCCACAACATTCCTAAGAATCTGATGAAAGCTGTGGACTTCTTCCTAGGAAAACGCTCTGGACCGTGCCACAACTGTAGGAGGTAGTGTTTGCAGACTTCCCCTCCGGGGTCTCATGTTACCCCACCTGCCCCGCACCCCCTCTCCATTCGCTCTGCCCCGTCACTCTGCTCTCTTTCCCACGCCCCAAAACAGCGTGTGCTTTCCCACCTTTGAACTTGGAGTTGCAGATCCTGAAGTTCCTTTAAGGTGCCCTGGGGACAGGAGCTGGGCTCCCACAGCCCACGCACACCCAGGGTAATAAAGGTTGAGGGATCAGTCACAGCCTGTTCTGTGGCACTGGTGCAGCCCCACCCACCTGTTGCCACTCTGGGCAGCACTGGGTTCTGTCTGCAGGCCCTTCCTGCTCAGAGTTGTCCCTCAGCTTGCAAATCCTGCTGTCCCCTAACCCCCTCAGGGCTCAGATGCCTGGAAACTCCTAACAGCCAGCCAGATTTGACTCAAAGATGCACCCTCTTCTACCCATCCATACAATGCAAAATAAACCGGGTACCTAGGCTGTGTCACAGAGTGGTGTTGGGAGGGGTGGAGGGTACTCCGGCAGCCATAAGCGGACCCAGGCCCTGCCTGGGGAGCTCAGTTTTGGAGGGGCAGCTGGCAGGTACTCGCAGAAGTGCCTCCAACACGGGGGAGGGGGGGATCCCAGCCAGCCAGCGACTCTGGCATTTGGAGGTGCAAGTGACTGCCAGGATGAGACCTGATGAGCTCTCAAGGAGAGACATGTCTTCGTGTCTGCGGCCAGAATGATGGCAGCCTGGCAGGCCGGGAACTGCAAGTCACTGAGCGTGTCGACCCGGAGTCCCCCAGGAGGGGCTGATGAGGCTGGAGAAGCATAGAGGGCCGGGCAGAGGGTGGCCTTGGCCTTGGGAGCCAGGTTCAGGAGACCCACTACACCTGGGCCAGAAGAAGCTCTTGGAGGATAGGCGGGGCTGGGTCACCTGGCCCCTTTCTCCGCCCGGGGGCAGCCTCTTGCAGCAATTGTCTTGGTCTTGTCAAGGCTGCTGCTTCCCGCTTTTTCGACCCCCAGGGCCTTCTCTGAGTCTGAATGTCACATACCTTTTCATCTCTTCCCTCTTTCCTTGCCACTCAACGTCAGCCAGCACCTCAAAAACTCATCCAGGACTCAGCTCGGGCTCCTGCCAGCCTCCCTCCCTGCACCTGCTCCCTCCCTGTTCTGACCACAAGCACATGTGCCTTTATTGATTCAGGGGCTGGTATTTGTTTATTGAGCCACTAACTCCTAAAAAGAGCCTGGGAAGCATACTTTGATAACCTGAGGAGAAAGTGGGGCTTGTGTTGCAGTGAGGAAGCTTCCAGCACTTTGACCTCATAGCCCTGCTCCCCACAGCCCCCCCTTCACAGAAGCTCTCCCCACACCCCACTCTCCCACACACTTTTTGGATTGCTAACCATAGAAGCATTTTCTAGCACGATCCAACACACATACGCGTGTGTGCGTGTGCAAAACAAATTTCCCGAAACAATATTACACAGGCCCTGAATGAATAGAGAAGACATTTTCTATTCTAGTCCAGTCTACTTCTTTCCTTCTTTGCAAGCTGGTCACAGAACACGAAATTGGTTTCCATATCCGCTAATGGGCTGCAACCTGCAGTTTGAAAACACAGCTTATCAGAGAGCCTTCCCTAACAGCATTGAAGCCAGAAGGGACCCCTCGAAAGGTGGCTTTGAGGGTTGAGCTGCTTCCTGGGCCACACCTGACTTGGAAATTTCCCCTTGATCTTTGCCTCAGCCAGTATGGGTCCTACAAAGGGGTAAGGTGGGTCTCCTTCAGCCCACAGTCGGCCGGGGACCGGGAAGGCGGGGAGAGAACAGGCAGCCAGGCTGTCAGCCACTGACGCTGAGAATAGTAACAACTGCAACCGTACCAATGGTCACTGGACTGGACCAGAACTGCCTGTGCTGGCCTTTCTCCCACTCGGTCTCCACCACAACCTTTAAGTTCAATGCCATCCCCCTTTCACAGAGTGCCAAAGGGAGCCACAGAGGACCCGCCCACGGCTCTGTAAGCAAGAGACCAAGCCAGGATTGGCTTCAGTCTGCTGGCCACCAGAGCCTGGGGCTTCAGGAATTTACACACTGTGGCTAAAGGCACTGGGGAGACCTGGCGCCTCTGATTTCATGTAGGACGGGTGTTCTACCTGTCACCCTGTCTCCAGGATTCCCCACTGCAGCCCACATTTCATTTTCAGAGAGCCTGAAAGTGGTGAAACAAGACTTTGCATATTTTTCTGACTGATTTCCCAGAGCTGTCCTTGACCTGCTGACCTATCTGGCTAAAGGACCTCCACATAAATAAACTCCCATGGCCTTGAGGAGCTCAAAGCATCTGTGCAGTGGGGCGGGGCATGCAGGCAGATGGAGATCAGAACAATAGGAGAGATCCTCCTATGATGGCGATCCCTTTGGGACAGGAAATTCACATGGGAAGGAGCTGCTAGCCACTGCTGCCGGTGGGGAAGGGAGAAGATCTCGCCCAGGAAAGGGAGTGGAGGCTGGGAGAGCAGCTCCCTGGGCTGTGAATGGGGCATTGTGGTAGCGCTGCACCAGAGCACTGTCCAGGGCTGCAGAGATGCCTCAAGGCTCTCCGTGCAGCACCTCAGCCCGTCCCCCTGCTGTTTGCTCTGTCACTTTAAAAGGAGGAAGGTGTAGACATCAGTCAAATCCCAGCCAGAAGGCTTCTGCAAAACCCCTGACCAGCTCTCCTCCGAACCCGCCAAGGCCATCCAAAGCAAGCCAAGTCTGAAGATCGTCACAGTCTGGAGGGGTCAAAAGGGACACAACGAGGAGATGTATGGGCCTGAATTCATAATGATGTGTCAACACTGGCTCATCAAATGTGACAAACAGAATCAAGTAAGAGGGCAGTAAGAGAGAGGCTGGGTGTGGGGGACATGGGGACTGGCCTGATATTCAGAGGGGACCTGCTCCCGGACCACCCTCCTCGCCCCGAATGTCCAAGGATGCTCAAATTCCTTGTATAGAACGTGCGTACAACCTACAAACATCTTCCCATATGCTTTACATTATCTCCAGGTGAGTCATAATACCTAATACAATGAAAATGCCATGGACATAGTTGTTACGATACTGACGAGCAAAAAAGTCTGCAAATGTCCAGGACAGATGCAAATGTTTTCCCCAGTATTTTAAACCCGAGATTGGTTGGGTTCTGTGACTGCAGACCCCACGGAGGCTGACTGTGCTATTTCTGCATGTCTCTGGAAATCTAAATCAACGTTACATTTACAAGTTTGTAAAAAGGAAGAGAAGTGCTTCTACCCAGCTGATCTGCAAGGTCCTTCCCTGCTCCAGCAATTCCTCAACGTTTGTGCAATCAACCCGGGCTGGGGGCCTCCCAGGTCCTGGTTGTGAAGTCAGAGGTGCAGGCCAGATGCAGGCATGAAGACACTGCCTGGAACAGGACTCCACCTGATCCTGGGCCCTGCCCTGATGACCAGCTAGGAGGGGCATCCTTTCGGAACTGAGGCTGGGCATTACTGAGCTGTAGATGTGACTCGCTCTTCCATCCCCCCTCCCACCTTTGGCTATTTACCAGCCTGTATCTCAAATACATGATTTGTCCAAAACTGAGCCCAAGGTACCTTCCCACCCTGACTCCCCCAGGTCTACCCCTCTGCGGCTCAGTCATGCACCACCCTTCTCCAGTTCCTGGGTAGTGGCCAACAAGCCATGCTAAATGCCTTCCCAGTCTCACCTCCTGCACGCAGTCAGTCCTGACATTCTGCACGGCTGTATCGACACACCCTCTCCAACCTCACTCAACTGTCTTAGCTCAGCCCTTGCACACTGTACCCAGCTGGAATCCAGCCATCAACCGTTCTAATGCACAATTAAAAAAAAAACACTTATGGTAAAATATTTTACGCAAACCAAAAGCTACAGATAATATTGCAGTGAGCCATAAATCATAGGAGACAAACTTTACTGATAAAATTAAAGCTATCTGTGTCGCCTTTGTTGACTTACTCCCTACCTCCAACTTCTTCCCTTCCAATTCTCTTATGTCTTATTCTTCCCTCTTGGTTTAGCCTACCCTCACCACTCAACCTAACATTGTATTCCAGAACTTCACTGCCTCAGTTTCCCTGATCTGTCTCTCTCTCTTTTTTTTTTTTTTTTTTTTTGACAGGCAGAGTGGACAGTGAGAGAGAGAGACAGGGAGAAAGGTCTTCCTTTTTGCCATTGGTTTACCCTCTAATGGCCGCCACTGCTAGCGCGCTGCAGTGGGCGCACCGCGCTGATCTGAAGGCAGGAGCCAGGTGCTTCTCCTGGTCTCCCATGGGGTGCAGGGCCCAAGCACTTGGGCCACCCTCCACTGCACTCTCGGGCCACAGCAGAGAGCTGGACTGGAAGAGGAGTGACGGGGACAGAATCCGGCGCCCCGACTGGGACTAGAACCCGGGGTGTTGCGGCGCCTCAAGGCAGAGGATTAGCCTATTGAGCCGCTGCGCCGGCCTCCTGATCTATCTCTTTTCCTTCTCTCTCTCTTGCTCTCTTTCTCTCTTTCTCTCTCTCTAATGGATTTTGTTAGGGTAAGGAAGTTCTCTTCCATTTCCCATTTTTATCACAGAAAGTTTTTTGAATTTTATTGAATGCTTTCTCTGCATCAACTGAGAGACTCATGCAATTTTTCTCCTTTAATCTGTTAATATGGTGTTTTACAGAACCAGATATCCTTGCCTTCCTGGGATCACATTGCAGGGTTTTAACTAGGTGATTAACATGATCTGATTTTCATTCTAAAAGTTCACACTGGCTGCTGTGTGGAGAATGCATGGGGGAGCAAGGGTGCAGGAAGGGAGATTAGATTAGCCAGGGGGCTATGACGGTTTAAGGATGACTGATGGGAGAGTGAAAATGGAGATGAGCGGGAGGATTAAGGAGACATATAGAGATAAAACCATCAGAACTCACTGATGGTACAGGGAACCTTTTTTCTCAAGGGCCTTTTGGATATTTTTAACATCATTTGCAGGCCATACAAAATGATCAACTTAAAAATTAGCCTGCTGTAGATTTATTGAATTTTGAGTCCTGCCTGCGTTTGCCTCAGCAGGGCCAAACCAAATGATTTTGTGGGCCTTACACGGCCCACGGGCCAGACATTCCCCAGCGCTGGGCTAGAGAGAAGAGGAAGAACTGAGGGTCACTACTAAGTTTTCAGTGCTAGAAACGAGGGGGTCCCACCTTCCTTGGAGAGCACAGGCAGGATCAGGCCGGGGAGGGCGGGAATGGAGCGTCTGTTTCAGCTGTGTTAGGATTCATACGTCGGTCAGAGAGCCAAGTGGAAAGACTGAATTTGAGGAGCAGCTCCAGGGCGCGTGTGGGTTAATGACACAGGTCGGGGCTGTTGTCAGTGTAGGGGTGGTGTTTAAAGCCACAGCTTTGGATATGGTCGCTAAAGGGGACAGTCAGATAGGGGAGACAATAGGGCCCAGGGCCAAGCTCAGAGCTCCAGCACGGATCAGTGAGCAAAGGGTCAGCGAAGAAGACTGAGAAGAAGGCCACGCAGGGGAGAATGGTGACGGCAGGAATGACCGAAGGCACAGGTGCCCTTGAGAGGAGGGGGGAGAGGCAGTGCCCAGTGGGTGCCAATGGACTTTTTTTTTTTTTTTTTTGACAGGTAGAATTAGACAAAGAGAGAGAGAGACAGAGAGAAAGGTCTTCCTTTTTCCATTGGTTCACCTCTCAAGTGGCCGCTCTGGCCAGTGTGTTGTGGACAGTGCGCTGCGCCAATCTGAAGCCAGGAGCCAGGTGCTTCCTCCTGGTCTCCATGCGGGTGCAGGGCCCAAGGACCTGGGCTGTCCTCCACTGCCCTCCCAGGCCACAGCAGAGAGCTGGCCTGGAAGAGGAGCAACCGGGACAGAATCCGGTGCCCCAAATGGGACTAGAACCTGGGGTGCCGGCGCCACAGGCAGATGATTAGCTTAGTGAGCCACGGCACCAGCGCCAATGGACCTTTAAAAATTTCCAATTCTGGGGACTGGTGCCATGGCTCACTTGGCTAATCCTACGCCTGTGGTGCCAGCATCCCATATGGGTACTGGGTTCTAGTCCTGGTTGCTCCTTGTCCAGTCAGATCAGCGCAGTGCTGGCTGTGGCAGCCATCTGGGGAGTGAACCAATGGAGGGAAGACCTTTTTCTCTGTCTATAACTCTACCTGTAAAAAAAAATCAAATAATTTTCCAATTCTGGTTATTTTGTGTGCTCACTCACGCAAGACCAACCCAAGAGCCACTTGTACATGGTCCCGAATGCGCCAACAACGTCCTCAGCTCTCTGTGCAGTTTTCTGGGGGTAGGAAGAATGATTTTTTTTTTTCCTAAATGCCCTCTTCTTGAAAGAGTATGTCTGGATTTGCCTCTGGTCCCAGGTTCCCCGCGCCTTTGTAGCGGTGACACACCACATTTCGTTTGCTTTTGCTATCTCCTCAGCCTGACTCACGGAGCTATAAATACAGCAGTTTCCACACACAGTGAACTCACGCGGTGGAACGCACCCTACAGGGCTGTGGAGTTCACAGAGGGAAGCGCCGCCTCACCCCTGCCCTGCAGGTCCACTGAGAAAATTAAACCGAATTTCAATTACCTTCACTTAGACAGTTTCGGGCCGCACCCTCCCAGATAACGTTCCTGAGCGCCACCGCCACCGGGAGTCCTGCCTGTGAGGCTCGGAACAATTGCTGGCACGGGTTTAAGGTGTGCTGCAGCTTTCCAGGGGCGGGGAACGCGGCCCTGGGCTCCCTGGGTGGCAGCCAAGCCTGCAGGTTGGTAGAGAAAGTCGTAAGGGCCTCCTCTCAGCCGTGCCCATTGAGTTGTCGCAATTTCAACAAGCTCTCCCTTTCTTAAACAACCAAGATGATGTTCAACAAAGGTAATTTTCTGCTTTTCTGGTCCAATTCTATTTATCTTTTAAAAAGCAATTAGCATCCCTTTAGAGTTCCTTTATGCCCGACTAATTGTGCCTTAGTTCATGAGTTAAGGTTTCTCTCTATGTATTTAAGCAGCTACAAGAATATCTATTTAAAGTCCAAGCCAGACAAAAATGCACATTTTGGGTAATATTGTCTCCTTAGCTTTGTAGGTATTGACATTTCCACCAGTGGGGCAAAGAAAGAGAATCCATTTCTTAGTTTAAGGTATTCTGGAGAAGGGTGTATTTCCAATTAACTGAGAATCAGAGGAATTGGAAACTAGCATGACTAAAGGATTTAAATATTAATTAAGAACAATTCCACTACTCATTTGAAACTAGTTGGAAGGCCCATAAGCAGCAGACACAACCCAGAGCTGGTAGTTTTCCTTTGTAAACCAACCCTCCTTGTTTACTGAAGCCTGGTAAGGGAATCTGGACTCAGCAGCACCCTGACCCGATTAGACAGATCTTTTTACATGGCGGGTAGCTTTAGACAAGAGCCCAGTGCTATGGAAGAACAGCTGGCCCTGGGATGCCCTTTGTTTCCAGACCGGTAGAAAGAGAATCATAGACTTTTAGAGCCCAAATCATCTTCGAAAAGAGCAACCCAGGACTGGTGCTGTGGTGCCATGGCTGAAGCTGCCACTTGCAATGTTGGCACCCCATATGGGAGTGCTGCTTCAAATCCAGGCTGCTCCACTTCCAATCCAGTTTGCTGCTAATGAGCCTGGGAAGGCAGCAGAAGATGGTCCAAATACTTGGGCCCCTGCCACCCATGTGGGAGATCTGGATGGAGTTACTGACTGTTGAGGCCATCTGGGGTATGAACAAGCAGATGGAAGATCTCTTTGTCTCTTCCTCTCTCTGTCACTCTGCCTTTCAAATAAATAAATAAATCCATCCATCCACCCTAAAAGAAAGGAATAGAGTCACCCATGATTTGACAGGCCCACTAACTCTTTAATGGCAAAGGCAGGATTTGAAAAGTTATTTTATTCCCTTCCCTGGTCTTTGCACTAGAGTGTGGATTCTTGACCAGACAGAAGGCCAGAAGGTCAAAGCAAACAAAACCCTCCCCCAGAGACAGAGATCTGACTGGTCTAGTGGGCTGCCTGTGCATTGGGATTTTTAACCTCTATTTTTCCCATTCTGGGTGGTAGAGGGCAAAAGGCAACTGAGCTACAAGACACATAGGACATACAAGGATACTTCCAAAAGTTCATGGAAAATGTAGTTAAAAGATAAGTTTACTTTGGTGCAAAAAAATTGAAATTCATGCATATATGGAATCTTCAAAAAGTTCATGGAAAATGTGCATTATAAGAAAACTATGCATGGGTTTTCAAATTTTTTGGCCCCAAAATAAATACCTTTTGATTTCATTTCCCATGTACTTTATAAAGAGCCTTTGTATTTATGACATTCTTAGCTAATCCATTTGACCTCACCTATCACTGGCATGAATTCCTGAGCCAACAGAGGCTCTTGTTGAGATTCCAACCTTAGGGGCAGACATTGAGCCTAGTGGTTAAGAGTCTTGAAATTAGGATACTTGCTTCCCGGCTCTGGCCCCTGACTCCAGTTTCCTGCTAACGCAGACCCTGGGAAGTATCTGTGGTAGCTCAGATAGTTGGGTTCCTGCCTCCCAGTTGAGAGATGTGGATTTCCAGCTCCTAGCTTTGGCCAAGCCCAGCCCAGCCCTGGAATTTATAGGCATTCGGGAAGTGAATCAGCAGATGGGATCCTTATCTGTCTCTCTCTCCCTCCCTCTCTCCCTCTCAAATAAATTGAAAAAAGTGAAGAAATTCAACTACCTACACTTCCTTTTCGGTTTATAACGTGAAGCATTCTTTCCTTCTTGGGTGAAGAGGGCCTGGAACAGATTTCCTCTTAGCTCCTGGACTGGTGTATTCATTTGGAAAGCAGAGAATTACCTTGCAGACATGGAGAGGCTGTGGGAGCCAGAAGAATCATTTCATTTCCTAGGACCAAATAGAATTTCTGAGTGGCAAAACTCCCATTGCAAAAAATTACAGAGCACTCTGAAGAGCACAGCCTCAGAACTACCGTGGAACTTTCCACTGAGCTGATAAGGGTGGGAGGCTGCGGGACCGCCTGGCAGGAAAGTGGGCAGCCCTTTGACACCTTCAGCAATACAAGCAGACATGACCACCAAAACCCAACACTTGTGAAGCAAACTGCGGCAGGCAGGCAGACGCACAAACAAACGCGATGTATTGATTTTGGCAATGGTTCTGCATTACTTTTTATGTCAGAAGACAGCCGAGTCAAAAAGCCATTGGTGGCTGAAGCCTGGAGTTGAACCGAGACCCGGTTGGCCCAGGGATCCTCTTGCTTAATTCTGCTGCCTTGCATCTGTTTTGGCAGCCTCGCGCCTCGCTGGAAAGACGATAGGACCAGGAAACTAAGTCCCAGCTGGCTAACTTTTCTCCACAATTCCAAGTAAACCGCTTACCTGATGAAGTTGAAAGTTCCCTCTGTTCCACTGAGTGAGGAATGAAACTCCCTCAACCTGTCTGACCAGTTCTGACACTTGAAACTGGCCCAGCACCTTTATATAATATATAACCCAGGACGCAGTCCCAGGCCCTCTCTGTCCACTCCGTTCACAGCAGCATCCCAAAGCCCACAACACACACCGCGCCCCCACCAGCGCTTGCCTCCCTTCCACAAATCCTAAAGATTTTCAGTGTCCTATATTTGCCTTTAGGATGCAGACAAAATCAAATGATTTGAAGAGAAGCGTTTTGTAGTAACAAAGAATAGGCACAAGTGCTTAAGTGAATGACAATCACAGAAACAGCCAATTAACTGGTAAATCCCTGTTGTCTGCGAGCTGAACCAGGAACGAGTGCAGGAGGCAGAAAAGCAGCTGTAGCCCAATTAAGCTCAGTAGCTCAGATACCTCGGGAGGATTCCAGCTCCTGCTCTACCTAAACAGATCTGCTTTCTCAGAGACCTGGGGGACTGCTGTACACAGGCGCAGGTTCTGCTGCTCTTCTTCTTCTTCACTGCTGGCAACTGAGCTAAAATATGCACAGAAGCAAATGGAGAGGATGAAGGGTCACCAGACTCAGAAAACACACTTTTCTGGCATCTGGGTAGAAGAGAGGCGGAGAGTGTTGGCTCCTGCACTTGGCCAGGCAGAAGGAACTGTACACACACCCAGGCCCCTGGAGGAGAGAGGATTCCAGAACTGGCACTCGGTTTGCAAGGCTCTGAGAATCCAATTGATCTTTTAGTTAATGAGCCTGGAGAATGCAGAACACCCTGTTATGAAATGGCTTTGACCGAATGATGACAACAGGCAACCCTAGGCCTTGGGCACGTCATCAGGCCTATGACGTAGCTCTTTGTTTCTGTCATGTTTGTTCTTTCCCATATTTCTTCCATATGGATAGAATTTTCCACCTTCAATTTCTGATCAAAATATGATCATCATCTTCAGTGAAGAAACACCTGTTACGGGCTGGCTTCCTACCTCCATTGGTGCTCAACCAGAGCCAAGTCTCTCATCTGACCTTGAACCAGCTAGGTCAGCATCACCTGGACTGCTTAAGCAAAAACACCCCTCATCCAGAATCAGAATCTCCTGGGCGCCCCAAAACTTACAGCAAGTTTTAAACAGTAAAACATTTTTAAAAATTATAATAAAACATTTGTCATGAACATGTTACACAGTAGAAAGAATCTGATGCTGGATGTCAAGCCCCCATCATTCAGCTTCAATAAAGCTCAATGTTCTACTCAGTCATGCTACTTTTCTGGAAGGGGTCGGACTGAACAGTTTTTAAGTGAATCCCAGCTATTTTACCCATCCAGCCATCAGTTGTTTGGTGTGATTTCCTAGCAGGTAAAAGCTTTTTATTCTTTTAACATGACCACAATGCTGTTATCAAATTCCCAATCCAAGTTCAGTTTTGCAAAATAGTCTCAGAAATGTCTTTTTGCATTTGGTCTGTTCAAATCAAGATCTAAAGAGAGCTACACATTGTGCTTGGTTGGCACAGCTTTTAATTTATAATGGGCCCCCTGTCGTATTTCAGTTCCATTTATTTACATTCCTCCTGTGAGGTTCCCCACTTGCTGGACTTGATTGTCCTGGCAGTGCTGTTTGCTCCCCCAGTTCTCTCATTTGCTGGATGCTGATGGTTAGAAGCTTGATTAGATTCAATATTTTTTGGCAAGAATTTTCCACAGGTGGAAGAGCATTATGTCCAGCTGTTCCACTTTTAGTTAAAATTGGTCAATGGGTTCAAGTGTTACTGCCTGATCCAACCATTATAGTTTTCCATCAACATTGTATTTAATGGTTTTAGCAGACAATTTGATCATTGCCTGGTTGTACTATTTCATAGTGATTTTCTAGTTCAGTTTCTTGTCCTGTGTTTATTAGTTGTGAATCTTCTGTAAGGAAGACATTTCCTTCATAACTCTTTGGTTACCAAGAAACAGTCTGTACAGGAAATACAAGATAGAAATCTTATTCTTTCCTTTTATTTATTTATTATTTTTATATTTATCAGAATGACCACTTCCTTATTATTCCCCAAAAGTGAACAATTAAGTTTTCTTTCTTGTAGGTTAAGAATGTTATGCATACATAGAATTGCATATATTTTTACATATATATTTTATTTATTGCAGTTGGTACTCATGTTTTTAAGAGTTATTTATTTGAAAACCATAGTGACAGAGAGAGAGAGAGAGAGAGAGAGAGAGAGAGAGAGAAATCTTGGTTCAGTCCACAAATGCCCACAACAACTGGGGCTGCGACGGCCCCAAGTCAGGCACAAAGAACTCCATCTGGGTCTCCCACGTGGACGGTAGGAACCCGGGTACTTGAATATCTGCTGCCTCTCGAGGTTTGCCTTAGCAGGAAGCTGGATCAGAAATGGAGACGTGACCTGATCCCAGGCACTATGATATGGGATGCGGGCATTGCAAGAGGCAGCTCAACCCACTGTGTCACAATGCCATTTTATTTTAGAGATGCAGAGAGACAAACTGAGGGAGATGTTCCATCTGCTGGTTGACTCCCCAAATTCCTGCAACAGCTGGGGCTGGGCCAGGTTACAGCTGGAAACCAGGAACTCAATCTGGATCTCTGATGTGGGTGGCAGGGACCCAAGTACTTGAGTTATTACTGCTGCTTCCCCAGGTGCACATTAGCAGGAAGCTGGAATTGGATGCTGATCTGAGGCTTGAACCCAAGCACTCTGATATGGGTTGTGGGTGTCCCAAGCAGTATCATACCAGCAGGGTCTTAACCAAGGTAAGTCATTTTATTCCCTGTGGTTTCTTGTGACTTGACCTCTAGCATCAGTAACTTTCCATATCACTCATGTGGGAGTCCCAGATGGAGTTCCTGGCTCTTGGCTTTGACTTTGGCCCAGCCAGGGCTGTTGCAGCCATTTGAGGAGTGAAAACACAGATGGAAGATATCTCTGTCTTTCTCTGTCTATCTCTGTCTGTCGGTCTCTCTCTCTTTCCTCTCTGTGGCCCTCTCAAATAAATATTTGGCCCTCTCAAATAAATAAATAAGCAAATAAATAGAAAGAAATTGTCCTCAGGATACTGTGTTTTATTTTTTATTTTTATTTTATTTTTTAATATTTATTTGAAAGTCAGGGTTACACAGAGAGAGAAGGAGAGGCAGAGAGAGAGAGAGAGAGAGAGAGGTCTTCCATCCACTGGTTCACTCTCCAGCTGGGGGCAACAGCTGGAGCTATACCAACCCAAAGCCAGAAGCCAGAAGCCAGGAGCCAGGAGCTTCTTCTAGGTCTCCCATGCAGGTGCAGGGATCCAAGGACTTGTCTTGGGTCATTTGCCACTGCTTTCCCAGGCCATAGCAAAGAGTTGGATCAGAAGTGGAGCAGCCAACTCTCGAACCGGTGCCCATATGGAATGCTGGCAGTGCAGGCAGTGGCTTTAAATGATACACCACAGTGCCAGCCCCAGGCAACTGTGTTTTAAAGTCACATAAGGGGCAAGTGTTGTGATGCTGTCAGTTAAGCCTCTGCTTTGTATCCTGCATCCCATACTAGAGTGCTGGTTTGAGTCCCAGCTACTCTGCTTCTGATCCAGCTTATTTCTAATATGTCCTGGGAGACAACCAATGATGGCTTAAGTGCTTGGGCCCCAGCCACCCAACTGGGGGATCTGGAAAGAGTTCCAGGCTCCTGGCTTCAGATGGACATTTGGGGAGTAAACCAACAGATGAAAGATTCTCTCTCTTCTCTCTCTCTGCCTTTCAAGTAGAAGAAAATAAATCAATATTTTAAAAAGTTTCTTAAAATAATTGTTTTCATTTATAGAATCAATTCAGTATACAACTAGGCTTGTTGCAGATTTTTGTTTTGTTTTGGATTTTTAAATCAACATTCTATTTTATAACAGTCTAATACAGAAAAATCAGAACACTAGCACAAAGAACATCCATATCTCCTTCAGTCAGCTTACCCTGTTATTAACATCTCACATCGCGGCAGTGCTGTGGTCACAGTTAATGAACCAAGAGTGATACATGACTGAAGTCCGCACTCCACTCAGCTTTCTTTGGTTTTCATCCAATGCTCTTTGCCTGTTCCAGGATCCGGCTGAGGGCAGCACCGCGCACGCGCACATCACGTCCGTGTGTGCTGTGACAGGGCCGCAGACGCCCCTTGTTTACGATGACTCTGGCGGTTCTGAGGGGGCCGCGCGTCGGGTGTTTTGTGGAATGTCCTTCAGCTGGCCTTTCCTTCAGATTTTTTTCATGTCGTGACTGGAATCGCCTGTTTTGGGGAAGGAAGGCCGTGGAAGCAAAGTGCCATTGCCCTTACCCCCTCACCAGAGCTCATCCCACCGTCTGCCTCGCTGCCGCTGAGCAAGCCTTCATCACCTGGCAGAGACGGCGGCGGCTTGGTTGGTTTGTTTTTGCAGATTTCTCCAGTGCAGGGTTATTTTTTCCCCTCCCCGTGGTGTACTTTTTGGAAGGAAGTCACAATGGGAAGCCTACACGTAGGGAATGAAGAGCTATGCTTTATCTTAACCCTTGAGGATGGACAGCTACATAAATTGTTTGAAATTCTTCTACGTGGAGACTTGTCTCTTCCTGTTTACTTATTAGATATTTGTGTGTGTGTGTGTGTGTGTGTGTGTGAACACGGACCCCTAAATATGAGTGGATACTTTGGGTTGGAATCCAGTCCTATGTTACTTATTCTGTTGCTCGCATTGGGCCATGTTTGCATGTTTGGCTGCTGAGAGCTCTTCGGTTGTTTTGAAGTTTTTAAATCAACCTTTCCACTCCTGACATAGCCCCTCCCCCTTTTTTTTTGAGCACTTCCTTACTTACTGGAACTAAGAGATGCTTCAAGATTATCTTGTATGTTTCTTGCCCCAGGCCTAGAGCCAGTCATTTCTGCAAGGAGTCCTGGTGCCTGTTGTTGGGGAAATGGTGTTAGAAACCAGGATCTGGGTGCAAGGGATGTGTCTGTGTTGCTGTTGGGGTGTCATTCCTCTTTGGCCTTCTCAGTGGATAGCCAAGGAAATAGACATGTGACGCTGACCTGTGTCAGTACAGGGATCTATGCTTTACTGTCCGCATCTGTGTTACCCTAC